TCTCTCTCTCTCTCTACAAATACACCTTGTTCTAGAGACCTTCTACCCTAGTCTCTTTGTAAGAAAGGTTGAGCATCGCGGGGGCTACATGTTGATCCGAAAAAGTTTGGGTTTGGAGTACTTTCATGTTCTTCTTTGGGTTTCTCCATTTGAGGTAGGAATTTCCTTGTTCTTTTTCAATGCTCCGTCTATAGATAGACATGTGGTAGTTTTATATTGCATGAAAATCATATCCATATTGGATTTGTCTAAAAATCATGAGAGGGAACCTAGGGTTGGTTGTTTAAAAATGGATTTATTATCATTGATTATTCTTTGGGCTAATTGGGGTGTAAACTAACATATTATTGTTGAAATGAGAGAAAACCCTAAATTATATTTTGATTTGATAAATTAAAAAAGGGTATGGTTGAACAATGTTGGTAAATTTCTATTGTTAATATGAGTTGTGTAAAAGGTGTTAACGGTTAAGGGATTAACTATGGTATTGGGGTTATTTTGAAATGAAATGAATGGAATTGGTTTTGTGAAATGGGAAAAGTGTTTTTGAAATAAGTGGTGGAACATGTTGACTTGGAAAGTTATGAAAGTTGATCTTGAAAATGGGAAATGAAATGTTAACTCTATGTGAGTCTCGGAAAATAAATATGAGAATTTAACTATTGTATCATGAGTGTTGTATACACACATTTTGGGGTTTTATCTTTAACTATCGTACTAGTGTCGTTGTTGGGTTTAAGATTGCTTGAGAGTTGAGTCTCTTTTAATAGGTGCATTGAATACATACATCTAGAGATTTTGTCCTTGATCATCGGTGGAGGATGACATTGTTATGTTGAATTATTGTGTATGCATTACACTTGTGTTGGTTAAACATCATTGAATACTTTATGTGTATATATTACACTTGTTGGTTATGCTTTGTCGCGTTGAGATTATTGGTGTTATATACCGCGCTTAGAATGAGGGGTACCAATACCTTCCAGCTAGCGCCTGGAGAACTTGGGAGAGGTACCTGTACATTCCAGCTTGTGTCTGGAGAACTTGGTAGAGGTACCAGTACCTTTTAGCTTGTGTCTGAAGAACTTGGCACTTCATTTGTCGAAAGGTGTATCCTTAACTTACCATGCTTATGGCAGGTAGAGCAGAGCCTTTTATCATCATTATTTCAGTGTATCTGAGTATGTTATGGGTTATGATGGTTACAGTTTTGAAAGGCCGAGTTGCCTCATTTGTTGATCACATATTTGTTGATGATTTGTTGTTTCCCTTTTTACTAAAGGTATGCATGTATAGGTATGAATGTGTTGGAAACAAACCTAAATGCTATTTTGAGATTTTGGAAAATGTGAAGGAAATTGGGTTTTTGTGAACATGTTTTTTGAAAAAGGCGAATCTGTTGTAAGTACGGAAAATGGGAGAAAAGTAACGGGCTTGGTGAAATTGTTTTCTAGAATTGTTATTGTCATGAAAGTTTGGGAAAAATGGGTAATGAAAGGAAAAGAAAGTTGAATCGCTTACATGTTGAATAAAATGGCTGATTTTGAGAAAAATTCATACCTATGTATATTTTTGTATAAACTGTCACATTACTATTCTAGTATGAGATTGAGCATTCATGATCATAGTTATCTGTAAGTTATTATTGTTGAGGATCGTGTTGAGATCCCTACTAGACTATATGTTCATCCCACGTTGTTGAATCTTTTTCAGGTGTTACTCAGGATGTGCTACAAGATTTTGGATCTTCTTATTTGTTGGCCACACGGCCTCTTTTGTGTTAGCGGAATGTCATTCATGTAAAAGGGTTACACCCTTCTTTTTTATTTTTATTTAAATGATGTAAGCTCACGGGCAATTTATTTAGTATACTCATGTTGTATTTATTTTTGCATTCGGATGAGAGAATTGTTATTTATTTCTACTCGTTGAACTAAAGAGTTTTCTTCTGCATGTTATCTCTGAAAGTGAATTAAATTAATGAATTTGCTAATGAATTCGAGTATTAAAAAGTGGGGCGTGACATAACAGATCCAGTAACCAAAGGGTTAGAAAGAGAGTTAGTTGAGAACTCATGAAGGGGAATGGGACTTAAACCTATTAAATAAGAGTTACCATAACGGCAACCTAACTTAGTTAACTAGAGATCCCAAGATCTAGGTTCAAAGGGACAACCGAGTTGTGTATGACTCATAAGGATCACTGGGGAGTCAAACTCCTACCTATTTCTATGATGAAATAGTGATGTCTACAGCATTTTAGGTTAAGTAATATTTTTAATAATTCTTATATCTAAGAATACCTAGTGGAGTATGGCAGAATACTCTTCATAAGAATCACCTATATGAGTATGAACTGTGCCGGTTCTATGAGATTTGTGAAAGGCTACAATTTTCTAGAGTACTCATGAAAGACCAGGTTGTTCAGGGTCAAATTAAACACAATAGTGAGAACTAAACTATATCTGGTAATATACTGTGTGAGTTTTATTGTCTTGGGTTACACAAATGGTTGAACAGTTCAAGACATCATGTTCACTAGTTAGCTAGTAAATCCGATAGTGTCTCATAAGGGAAGGTTCAAAGCCAAAAGTTACTTATCATTTGCAAAATATTCCCAATTTTTGTACTCTCAATAATTAGATCATGTTATTACATTTTCTCTCCGTCAAATTCCATTCATGTGGGGGATTGTTGGAAAAATATGGTTTTACAAGCTTATTTTGGGCTAAATTTGAGCCCAAATTTGGACGGGACCCACACGTCTTTTAAGGTGGGTCCAAAGAGGTGACGTGTTCCTTGCCACATGGCAAGTCACACAGTAAAGACAGTTCGTCAAAATCATTTATGAGTGAATGAGAGGTTGACGTTATTTTCGGGTTCGTGGAATGGACTATTAAAGAAGTAAAATGTGGGTTTCCTTGAAATAGTTATCCCACATTGGAAACTTAAGAGAAATTATGTGTGTATATAAGTTCTAGGTAACAACACTTGAGTTGGGTCCCAAGGGTCACCCCAAGTTTGTAGAAGGGGGGAGTTATAGACAATGTGAACCTTGGCTCAAACCATCACACGCACGTACGCCGTCATTCGACCGGCCTAACCGAGCCGAGCGAAGGTATGGGTCGTGGATCGGGTCGGTTCTAACATTAATTTTTTGGACAAAATTTATTTGAATTTGTCTAAAAAATTCTTGTGGGAAATTATTTAAATTTCTGAACAAAATTAATTTAATTTTTTATGTCCAAAATTGTGCCTCTTCTAGTCCAATTTCCGACTGTTTAAACTGCTCTAAATTGCCCAGCTGTTTCGGACAGAGTCAGTTTCTTCCAAACAGGTTTGAAACTGCCCAGGTAGTTATCTGTTCAAACAAATTTGAAAATGCTCAGCAGTTATCTGTCCAAAACTGTTTGCACCTGTTGAGTTTAAAAACCTACCAGTTCGGTTTGAATTTCAGACCTATTTTGGCCTATAAATACCTGGACCATTCCAGCAGATTTCCAGATCTGAAATTCACTTGTTTCCTTCTAGTATTTGCTCTCTTGCATCAATTTATTCTTCATATTATTTTAGAAAAAATTTGGAGAGTATAGAACACAGGTTTTTGTTCGCCGTACAAATTGTTTGGAGTGCTACTACAATTTGTGAAGATCATTCTATCCTGGAAGATAGACGTCATTCATCCGTAAGTACCGAAGCGAGGCGAATCTATCTTAAGAACAGAGTGTCAAACACTCGACTTACTCTTTTAAATATTTATTCGGTTCGGTAAATAAATTATGTAAGTAATTTATTTTTATTCATTTGTTTTGTTTCAAGTTATTTATTTTCTACAAAAGATTGTTCCAACAGATGCAGCCAAGCTCTGATCAATGCTTGCGAATGAGTCGAACAATGGTGCCCATTGGTAATGTCAAGAAACTGAAGAGTATGTTGATGAAATCGTTGCTGGTTTCTGCACAAACTACTCTCTTATTGTCTTCATCTACCAGAATTCTCAGAGAAACTGTGGCATTTGGATTGGCAGCCATTGTGATCACAACAATTAAGAAAGTGGATTTTTGTAAATTGGAATTCGGTTGGATTCAGATGTGTCTTTCTCTATTAATATATAGTACCCAATAAACAGAAGATAGAAGAAGGTACATACCTGGAGTTGTGGAAAATTATTGGAATTTGTTGATGGGTTGGAAGATGAAAGCCCAAGGGTCAATATAGGCTCGTTTATTTAGAAGAGGCTATTTACACTACAAAAAAATTGACTTTTTGCAACGGTAAAATACCATCGCTAATACTCCTAATTCCGTTGCTAATACTTTTTGCGACGGCAAAATGACTTTTTGCGACGGCAATAGGGGGTCGCAAATGCAGGGGTCGCAAAAGAGTTTTTGCGACGGCACAGTGCCGTCGCTAATGTTTTGCGACGGCATTTTTGCCTTTTTGCGACGGCACTGTACAGTCGCTAATAACGTTTGAAATTTCTTGACTTTTTTGCGACGGCATTATTTTGCCGTCGCTAAAAATGTTATTTGAGACGGCAAAAAATACTGTCGCTAATAGTCTTTTTTTGCAATGGCAAAAACACTGTTTTTTGCGACGGTGTGGTGCCGTCGCAAAAAATATTAAAAATATGAAAATTTCTATTTTTTGCGACAGTGTAATGCCGTCGCAAAAAGTATCAAAAAATAATAAAATTTCTATTTTAAATAATAAAATTTCTATCTTTTGCGACAGTGTAATGCCGTCGCAAAAAGTAAAACCTGTAACAAAATTAATAAAAATATTTTTAAAAAAAATCATCAGACACTGTCTCTACTTGTGCTTCCTTATCCAATGAACCATCTTCTTTGTCCTGCCCAAACAAGAAATATGAATTTATCCTTAGATCAATTAAAAAAATTATCCTGTTTGAGCCTGTTTTCCAATCTCCCGCTTAAAAAAAAAATAAAATCAAAAAAACCTAAACAGGAGAAGATATTCCTATTCCTTTAAAATTTTCAGTAAATTCAAAGATCACTAAGAATACAATGTAGCATGATAAAGCAACAAGCATGAAGTCCCTAGACCCACTTTGGGGCATCATTTTCCAAAACGCAAGAAATGCTTTCAAAGATCAATCACACGAGAAAGCTTCTGAATTCGGTTTAGTAGGAAGTCCCCTTGCTTGATAGTTGCTTGATAAAGAGCATTCTTTGCATCTGGACAGTTAGTTTCCAAAACACCGGCAACTTTATCAATCTTGCAGTGAAGCTTCCCTGCTGCAATAAAATGTGACAGTTCCCTGGTGCAAACGAGGAACTCAATTAAACACCAATGGTTCACAATAAAAATCAATAACAATCTTACAGAAAAGATCAAAAGCATGAGTGAGTGTATCTAGGAAAATGATATCACTTACAAATCAATGAACTCTACTGTTACTCCAAATGCTTTTGCCATTGCCTCAATTGTGACACTCTCATAGGATTCCAAGAATTGGGAATAAACCACGGTCCTAACCTCCCTCATGTATACCAGAAGTGGGGATGCAAATAACGGTCCAATTTTATTTGCTCCATCAGGCCAGCTGAAAATCAATTGGATAAAATTTCATATTGGAATAAATTATAAGACAACATATTCAAATTGGAACAATAGTTTCAGCAATTGATCAGCTTCACAGTAATGGGGCATTTATACATGCATTGTATGTACTTGTGTCAACATGAGAAAGGGCTTGTGATCCTCCTTTATATATAGATCCCACATACTCAAATCTATCATGATTAGACTACTTCAGCCATTCAATTTCCAGTTCATTCTATGGGCAGTGTAAACAGATTTGAAGCTCTATAATCAAAGGCAGAATATGAATACGTCCAACATTTTGTTTACCTATCTATGTAATATATAATACTGCAAGGGTAAAATATGAGATATACAAGATAAATACTTACCTAATGCTAAGAAAAATTACTTGTACTGACAATCATATAAAGAGTTCAAAAACCCCAACAGATGCGGGATTTTCCCAATAACTGTGAAGATCTCAAGAGCATCAACTACCTGCAACATGTAGGAACACAGGCATAGTAACATGCCACATAAACAATCCCTTCCCCTCCCTTTTTTCTTTCTTTATCACCAGGAAAAACAAAAAAAGGGAAAGGAAAGGAAAGGAAAGTAAAGACAATCAAAAAAAAGAAAAGAAAACCAAAATACTGCCAGCCAAGCATCTCTCTAAAAAATTATCAAGGGGAAAACAATTCCATGCCAAAACCCTAATGTGCAACTGTGCGTACCTTCAGTTTCAAGGAAACTCTATCCAACAATATGATGCTGGTAAGGACTGTGTAAAATATGAAGTTGTCATATGGGAAAAGTTCATAAGTTGTGAAAGTTGAGATCGAATTAAGAAACAAACTGGTGGCTTTCTTAAAGTTTCGAGTAGACATGTAGTATAAGCCTTCATACACCTTTAGACGATTCTTCCTTTCCTAGTCACCTCCTTCCTCAGGCCACCACCTCTTACTTCTTTGCTTTATCAATGCTCTTGGAAATAAGATCGAAATCCATATAGAAAAAGCCAATCTGTAGCGTATGGAAAACCAGGTCCATTTTCTGCCCAGCAGCTACTGTCTTGCTTTCTGTTAACTTGAGTTGTTCCAGAGCCTTCTCCTGGGTTTACATCACAACAAGTTAGGAATAAAAGAAGTCTACAGAAATGCGTAAAAAATAAGCAGATGATTAAAGAATTGAAAGACATAACAGTTATATACCTTGTCGCCAATTCGTATGAAAAACAATGACTTGGCTAAATGGGCTTCTCTAATTTCGCTTTCACATAAGTTTTCTTCAGCATCAGCAATCCTAATAAAAAATGCAACCCGATAAAAGTATAAAAGAGATCAATCAACTGTACATCATATACACTTGCATTACATTTAGATACACAGAAAGGGGAGTGAAGGGAAGTATAAATTAGTGATGGAAAAAAAATGGAGGGGAGATACCCCTCTTCTTGTTTGTTTAGATAATAATTAACCAAGGGGTAGGTAGGGTGACCTTTCCGCCCTTTTGTTTGGTTAGACAATAATTATAAAGGGAAGGTAGGTACAAAAGCCAAATAGGTAATGTTTAAAAAGTAGGGGCTGTTTGGATAGACATGGATTTCAAAAATCAAGGGATTTGACCTTGATCATTCAAGGACAATAACTCAAATTTAGAAATGCTAGTTTATTTATGTATTTCAAGATTGAGTTAAATAGTTTTATCATAATAGATTTGAAATAATTATATAAAACTAGTTATTTGAAATCATGCCAAGAATTATCTTTCTAAATATAAGGATCCTTCTAAAATATACATCTTTTTTATCTATTCATTTAACCTCAAATCCCTTGATTTGAAATCCATATCTATCCAAACAGACCCTTATATACTTATGTTTTCATAAAATGAGGGGTATAATTGGTATTAAAATTATATTTAAAAACCAGCACTTCGCTTCCCCTCCATTTCCTCCCAATTTTAGAGGAGACGGGAAGCGCTCAATTTGTGGACCCTCTCTCCCCTCACAAACCCTCCATATACTTTCCATTGTTTTCTCAAAAACAATCCAAACAAAAACCAATAACTGAACCATAAGCATCATCAGACATTGTCTCCATTTGTGCATCTGTAACAAAGGTCCAAGAAAAAAAAAATGAACCATCAATGCAGTTAGATATAATAATTCCTTTCTGCTCTGATTGTATCTTTCCTTCTGTGTCCACGAGGAAGTATCTGCTCAGTTGGAATAATAATGATTAAAAACAGAATTATGGAAAACCCATATACCTAGATTGTGACATTTTATTCAGAAAATGTTCTAAATTATGAAAATTATACTCTGGTTCTGTTGATTACCCTTCCTTTTGAAGATCCTCAGAGACTTGGTCATAGAGAACTTGTATATTGTCGAGGTTTGAGTTGCCACAATAGTGATGGAAATCAAATGAAATATATCTGAATCAACAAGAAGTATAAATTAAAACTTCCCCTATATTAAGTAGGGAATGAAAGTCTAAAAGATGATGTTTTCATTTAGAAATAGAGCATGTGAAAATGATATGTAATATGCACATATTTTCCATAAAAAAATGAAAAGCTGCTATGATTCAATCTATCTCTCAAATTTCAGCAAGGCCGGAAAATCTTATCCTTCCTAATTGCACGTGATAATGGTGGTTGAAGAAGAAACAAAAAGTTGATCATGTTCAAATGGCAACTGAAGCTGTCACCTGCTTTCATCTCCTCCAATCTTTTTCACTGTTTTTTTTCCTGTAATCTTTCTTTAGTTTATCTCTCAGGTATCTTGTTAATAAGATTTTCAAAAGCCGAAAAGGCAAACAAATATTCTATTTATGATGTATTTCAGTCATCCAAGTCACATGTTGACCTAGATGGTTTCTAATGTACTGACAATATAAAATATATTCCAATCAATGCATCAGAAACATGGCATAATCTGAAACGCATGTACAGGCACATATCCTAGAACCTCTTCTCAGCACCAAAATTGGAACTCAAGCAGAAAGAGACAATGACACATCTCTTTTGCATTTATACATCTCTTTCTACTAAAAATACAATTTTTTCAACATTTTATAACATCAGATCCAGACATCTGTTTTTCTAAAATTTTTCTGAAAAATAGAAATTAGTTTGACAAAAATAAACACCATAATGATATTTTTGAATTTTAAAAAATTATTTTCTCCCTAAAAAATTAACCAAACCGATCAGTGGATGTCTAAGCAAACATCTATCACTGTGGATATTATATGTTCAAAATTAAAGAAAAAAAAATCAGAAAATAATGCTGCAAACCAAACCAAACCAAACCAAACCGATCAATGGATGTCTAAGCAAACATCTATCACTGTGGATATTATATGTTCAAAATTAAAGATTTCCACACTCATAGAAATCTAAAAAAAGTTCACAAATTGCAATGAACATGAAAAGAAAATCACCTCACATTTGACAGCTTTTCCATTTCAGTAGGCATATGCCATACTTAGTTGACCCTCATCGCCATGCTATAACACAAGATAACATAAAGATGAATATTTGCAATTGGAGAATACAAAACAATAATTGCATAAAATTATATGTAAACTTATGTGCATAAATTTCCAGTTTGGAATTCCATAAAGTGGACCAACTGACCTAGACAATGTCATGGAAACTGACTCAAAGAATGTAAAAAAAATTTTGCTACCATAGTGATAATTTCCTATTTGAACCATCACAGAGTTTCTTTTACATAAAAAAAAATAAACTTTAAAGAACAACATTCATATTTGTTACCTGGATTTCTCCACTTTTAGTAAGAAAACCATATTGAAACTACGCCCCAGGTTAATGTCCTAGTGTGGTGCTGGAAAGTCTTACCTTATCGGTTAGGTCAACTGCTACAGTCTCTCCGTATCTTTCTATAATATCATGAAAATGGCGCTCCACAACCTTTGACTAAAGGAAGAAAAACACAGTTAGATGCTCATCATTACACAACTTAAACATAAAGATCTGTATCCAGAAGAAAATACATACTGTTTGCTCATGATCAATAATATTAAGTCGTGGTTTATAGCTCAAATCAACAATTTGCTCCCAAATGAGTGGAATTGAACCTCGAATCTGAAGCAAATTAAGAAGTAGTTGTTACTCATTGGTTCACTTGACAGAAATTTACTTTGGGGTCCAGAGAAGAAAAACGCAAGTTAGCCAGTGAATTGGTCCACTTAAGATATTGAGTTGAAAAGATATTAACCGGAACAATTAGTATCTTAAGGCACATTTCCTGTGGAAATAATACCTGTAAAAATGAAGACATAGAACCTTCAAGGTTAGCCCCTCTTTTTCATATTCGGGTCCCTCCATTCAATATAACAACCAGTTACTACAATGTTTTGCCATAGCCATATTAATAGGAACAAAAACCAGTGATGTCTATATTGCACTACCTAAGCGCCGTGTACACCTCCTTGAAATTAAAGTAATTATGGCTGGTGAATTTTTCAGCTTGAGTTGTCCAGTCTGATAGCTTATGCCTTGGTTAAGTGAAAACACCATAAATAAGAAACTACTCTTGCATCCATAGTTACCTTTAACACGCACGCATGTGCTCATGCATAAACACACGCGCACACACACACACACAAAATAAGCATTGAAAAGCTTCAGGATATTCCCTTGTAACAGAGGGATGATAAACCCATCAAGCTGCATAGGAAAAATAAAACATATTAGACAAAGAATTTGTTTCAGTGATCATATTTCAGATGTCCAAATAGGCAACGTTGATTAATCACTTAGAAGTACTTGCTTTGTTTTTTATTGCAAACTTAATGCAATATTTGTTTCCTAAGGAAAGACAGGTGAGTACAAAGCAATGATAACATCTTTTGAACATAAGAAATGTTAACCTTATTCTCAATGAGCTCCTCCAAAATATTTCTGTTCCAAACAAATCGGGGGTCAACCTGAAATACAAATAAGAATTCAGAATCCCAGACTATTCAGCAAAGTTGTAGCTACTGTTACTTGAAAACAATGAAAGAACAAAGAATGTTAAATTTTTTACAGACACACCCCAGACAATACTTGATAGTCTCTTACCAACAGTCTGTTATAAATAGATCTTACAACTATGGAGTAATGAACCAAATTCTGAAGAATGAAGTGAAACTTAATTATGATGAGTTTGAATTTTCTTGAACTAGTTAATATCTTCACCCAACTGTCATTTCAGATTTTAAAAAGTAATCAAGCAACTTTGTCAAAGTACTGTATGAGTAATTTGGCCCACAGAGACATCTTTTTCCTTATATAGAAGTGTACAACATGCAATTTGGAAGTCACACTGATAATATCTGTTAAATTCATCAGGTTTGAGTTACTTCGAGTAAAAGTTAGCTAAGAAACACAGTAAGCAGACAAACCTGCTTCCAAATTGGTTTACTCATTACAGAGATACTAAAGTGCAAAGCTCATTAGCAGGAACAACTAATTAGCTAGGCTTATGGGGCTTCGAATAGCTCTGGTCTAGTTACAAGGCTTCAAATTATTTTGAAACAAGAAAACAAACAAAAAACAACACTACAAGTCTACAATATTTAACCCTATTTTCTGACATGACTTTTGAAGTAAAGAAAGCTTCAATTAAAAATAAAAAACTCACCCCTTTTGACAAATAGATTTTTCTTTGCCATCTCTGCGTGCAAAACAGACTTTGATTCCTCATCAAACACCATCTCCTAAACCACAAAACCAAACCCAATAATAATTTAGTACAATAGAGATCGATTAATCAAAACAAATAATATAGGTAAAGATTGTGAAGATAAGAACCTGAAGGGCATCTTTGGCAGCAATGGCAAAAGGAGGAGTAGTGAAGAGAGCGAAACCC